AAAATAGATTTAAAAATAAAACATCCAATACATGCTACCACATGGATAGATTTTGAAAACATACTAAGTAAAAGAAGCCAAAGGACCACATATTGTATGGTTCTGTTTATATGAAATGTTCAGAATAGGCAAATCCATAGAGACAAAAAGTAAAGGTGGTTGCCTAGTGCTGGGGGGTTGGAAGAAAAGATAGAGTGACTGCCAGTGGGCACAGAGTTTCTTTTTGGGGTGATGGAAATATTCTGAAATTGATTGTAGTAATGGATATGCAACTCTGTGAATATACTAAAAATCATTGAATTGTACACTGTAAATAGGCGAACTGTGGTATAAGTTATATCTTAATAGGAACTATTATAAAAAAATAAAATACTAAATTTGGAAAATAGTAGTTGACATCAAAACTCAGTAGACAAGTTAAATAGATTAGACACAAGTAAAGAGACAATTAGTGAATTAGAAGACCTGAGAAAAAATAATGATTACTTGGAAGATGGGGATAGAAGGCTCAGAGAGGTTTGAGAGGAACTAGCAGATAAAATAGACAAATAGCTTACTGTCTGTTTGGCTAGATGGGCCATAAACAAGTAACCAAATGTGTCAGGTAAGGATGCATGCTGTGAAGAATAAAGTAAGCTAAGAGAGTGATGGTAGATTATTTAGGGGTTTTTGTATTGGCTGGTCTGGAAATAGTTTTCAGTGAGGAGAGAGCCATAAAAAAAAGAGCGTTCCAGAGACAGTAAAGTAAGTGTGAGAGTCCTAGGTAAGAGCATGATTTACTTGTTCAGAAAACTGCTAAGCCTATCTGTGACTGGAGGGGAAAGACAAGGTGGTTTCTGAAATTGATAGATGAGGTCAGAGAGGTAGCCCAGTAAAGGATCATGTTGAGCTTTGTAAGCTGTAATAACAACTTCACAGTTTATTCTGAAGGAGAATGGAATCCACCAGATGTTAAAAGTTCACCCACAACAGATGAGAATTTAAACAAACAAAAAACTTGTCCTCTACTGCAGGTAGTTTTAGAAATTCTATCAGTATTATAAATTGTGATTTTTTTAAATGTTTAAGTTATTTGTAACTAAATAGAGATTCCAGAATATATCTATTTGTATTGCACATTTCTGTCCAGATGGTGAGCTGAAGGTTTAATTGTGATGATTCAATGTTGGAGGGAGGGAGGGAGGGAGAGAGGTAAAGAAGCCTGAGAAGGAAGAGTGGGGAAAAAAATGTCAGAATGTATCTCTATCTGTATTACAGGTTTCATGCAGAAAGAGCTATTGGTATTATTACCCACATCCTACCTGAAGATCATCTTCTTTTGGCTTCTTCAAAGAGGGTGAAAGGTACCCTTTGTAATCTAGTTTCCAATATATACTTATATACATGTCTTTTTCTTTTTTAGATGTCTTTAGCTGTCGATTGTAATAGTTGTCTAATCTCTGAAATTTTTAAATTTATGATAGATGGTATAAAATAGGAGTTTTTATTCATTTCCTCAGGGGTAGTGCATAGGATTAGACTGTATCCACGTATTACTAAAATAGCCAATTCACTGATTTAAAATATTTGCCTGCAATTCTACTTAAGAATTTCCAGTTGTTCATAATGAAAGGTTGTTTGCTTCTCTCATATAACATTGTTAATAAGCTAGAATGTCTATCCTCCCTTCCTCCCTTTACGTGCATTAATTCATTTCTTTTGCGAGGATAGCAGAATAACACAAATGATTATTGTATAGTAACATGGATAGCAAACTGAATATGGGTTTTTCACATACCTTCAGCTCTATAGTATAGGAATCTGAAATTCACTTTCATATTACATTACCCTTAATGTTGCAAGGCTCTTACTAAATACCACTTCTTTTTTTTTTTTTTTTCCTCTTACCCTAACCCTAACCTACTTCTTTTCTTATTTTAATTTCTAATCTCCACCAAGACCCTTTTATTTAAGGCATTTAATTTGCCAACATAATTGGATCATGAACCTCATAGTAATTCCATGCATGTCGGATAAATTTCACCTTAATTCTGGAACGGGGGTTTGCATTTTTAAAGGATACATGTAATACATGATTAATGTCAGAAATTAAAAGTTAGATAGAAAAGAGAAAAATTAAGTCACCGGAAATCCCACCAATCCAAAATCAACATTTCTGGTGAGTTTTTTTAAGGCTTTTTCTTTCTTCCAAAAATGAAATGAATGAATACTTTTTTTTTTTTTTTTTTAGTTTTATAATTTTTTTTTTCACTTAATATAATCATTATTCTGTGTTAGCACATGTAGATATATATCCTTTTCTCTAATGTTTTCAACCTCACTTCTATTGTTGGATTTTAATACTGTTCTTAACCTTTTGTTCTTTAAAAATACTACAATGAAATAAATCTTTAACTTTTATGCACATGGACTATTTTCCTAGAAATAAAATTACCTGGTAAAAGACTGTGTGTATCTGTAATACTTTAAATGGAATTTCAAAGTCTTGAATGTGACTTTTAAATTGAACTGTCATCTGGCCTGCTTTGGTTGGTCAAGTGAGTAGGAGGAAACCAGTTCTTTCGCTGTTATTTGGTTAAAGGTTATGTTTCATAAAAGTGTGGTTTCAAAATTTTCAACAGTGCTTAGGCACTCCTTGACCCAGTTTCATAACTTTAAAAAATTTTGCTATTCGCTTTAAAAAACATTCATATTAGCAAAGTTTAACAGTCTAGTAAAATATAAATTAATTCTGCAAAATAATTTGATCTATACCATTGTTTTTCTTAAAATTAGAATTCATTATACTATGTAAAATTGAATAACCCCCAAACTGTATTTTTTCTTTAAAGTAGAATGCTTTCATCTCTACCCATATTAAACCATAACCACACATAAATATATAAAAAAACAGTTATAGAATTTAATTTTATATGCTCTGATTAGCTTCGATAGATGGTTTTGGAAGTACACTAATTTCATTGCTTTTTTATTCAGCACTTATTTTAGAGGAGATTGCGATTGACTGTCATAATAAAGAAACTGAACAAAGACTGCTTCAAGAAGCTCATGATTTGCACCTGTCTTCACTTCAACTAGCTAAAAAAGCTTTTGGGGAATTTAATGTACAGACTGCAAAACATTATGGGAACCTTGGAAGACTTTATCAGTCAATGAGAAAATTTAAGGTGGCATGTTTTCCTATATTTTTCTCTCTAAATAATTTTAAGTAATAAAGTACAATCTTAAATAATGTATCTTTAGTAATTTTAAATAATAAAGTATACACTTATTATACAAATCCAGACCATGGAAAAATAAGTAATATATCAAACCATAAAGGCTAATATGCTTATTTTAGTTAGACTTAAAACATAGCTCTTAGCTAGGTTAAGTACAACATTTAGCAGAAAACCTTGCATACAAGAAAATCAGATATTGCAAGTGTTATTAATTGTAGAGATAAACATTTACTGAATTTAGTTTCTTTTAGAATTTTGGGTTATAAATTCTTAATAACGTCCATTTTAGTGTCACAATAAAGATGAGAATGGCTGCCTAAGACTTTCATTTTTACCTGGAAATGAATCTACATATTTCATGACCTGAGTTAAGTTTGTTGGAATAGAAATTGTCAAAACTCCAAAAAATAAAATGTACTCATATAAATTAGCATACTATAGTATGGAGTTTCTTCACAAGATTCAATTAAATTTTAGAGCATGTTAATTGAAAGAAATAAATTTCATTTTAGAATATCTTGATGTTAATTTCTTTGAATAATTTTTTATTACCCAGACAAGTCTTCTCTTACCATTTTTGTCATAGAACATATTGCTATCATTAGGTTATATGCATAGCTTCCCCAAAGCAGTAATGCTTCTCATAGACAGTTTTTGGAAGAATATAGTATGTTCTCTAATCTGATTACCTTATGCCATCCATAAAATGTTTTTGGCATTTAGAAGAACCTTGCTCATTAGATAAGAATTATTGACATGAAAAAAGTACAATCTAATGATGAATATGGCTTAATTATTTTTCAGGAAGCTGAAGAAATGCACATCAAAGCAATTCAGATTAAAGAGCAACTTCTTGGTCAAGAAGATTATGAAGTAGCCCTTTCAGTGGGACATCTGGCTTCTTTATATAATTATGACATGAATCAGTATGAAAATGCTGAGAAACTTTATTTGCGATCTATAGCAATTGGTATGTTATTTTAAATTTTCTTCGTCAGTTGTTTAGAGATCAGCATGTCAGTGTCTTAGATGTTGTATAAGGGAAGTGTTATTATTAAGACTCTAATGAGTTTAGAGCTATTAAGGATTTCTAAGAACCACCCAAAAATCATCTAGGACATTTTGCTAAATGTGATTTATTGATGTTGAAACCAGTATAAACAATATGACAGAGTGTCAAGTATAGGCAAAAGTAGTTATTTTAAACTATTTATATAATTACTATCTCCCTCCCTTCTTCTAACTTTAACAACATAGATTAGGTTTACCTGTTTTTGAATCTGATATAAATAGAAACATACAATGTATTTTTTTATATATCTGGTTACTTTGGACGGACACCAATTGTGAAATACATCTGTGTTGTTTGTTGTTCCAGATTACTGTTGCTTGTTAATTTCCAATGCTATATAATATATTATTGGATTACTATATCATTATTTATCCATTTTACTGTTACTGGATATTCAAAACATTTGGATTGTTTCCAGTTCAGACTTATATATTACAAAATAAGATACTGTTGGCATCATCTAATGTTGTGCCTGTTAAAATTCTTTCCCATTTTTATATTAAATTGTTTGTCATTTTCCTATTTTATAATTCTTTATATAATATGGATATAACAAGCCCTTAGTTGATTATATGTATTGCAGATAACTCTCATTTTATTGCTTATTTCTTGATGGTGCTTTTCAAAGTACTTAATGTATTCGAATGTATTGATATTTTATGGGTAGCACTTTTTATATCCTGTTTAAGAAACCTTTCCTACCCCAAAGTCATGAAGATATTCTTTTAGAAGATTATCTTCTGGAAACTATGTTTTACCAGTCAGATTTGGATCTACAGTCCTGAAATTGATTTTTGTTTATGGTGTGAGGTAGGGTTCAGTTTTTTTTTCTCCATATGGATATGTAGTTGATGCGGGACCATTTTTTCAAAAGACTATTTTTTCCCCCTCTGCTATGCTACCTGTCATAAGTCTTATATCCATGTATACGTGGATTCCCCATTGTCCATAATATATTGATTTGCTTGATCATAAAATGCACATAAAGTAGTTTTAGAATTGTTACTCCATAGTACTATGAAAAACAAACCTACTACTCAGAGTTCAGTCTTTGTTTACAGTTTTCTTTTGTCTTTAGCCTGAAAGTATATACTTGGAATACTGTGTTCAAAATTTACCTGGGTTATTACTCTCTTTTCCCTCTCCCCCTGCCACCTCATCAGTGTAGTTATTCTTTGGAAAGATAATTAGGTTCATTTGTTTGTGTTTGTATAACATTTCCCCCATCTTTACTTTTATTAAAGTATGTGAAATATTAATGTTCTAAAGTCAGAACTATAGAAAAGTATGCTCCTAGATGTCTGATTTTCCCTAATTTCTTCTACCCTTGTGGGTAACTAATCGCATTAGTTTCTAGTTTGTTCTTTCTGTGTATCTTTTTGCACAAGTGTTCAGATACATAAAGATTTTATTTTCCCTTTCTTACACGAAAGGTAGCATACTATACTACCTTTTTGTACTTTTTTATAGTATAGTATGCTAAAGTATAATACTATATTTTTGTACTTTGCTTTGTTTTTTAATTTAACAACATACCCAGTAAATCATTCTGTGCCAGTTCATAGGGAGCTGAGAGCTTCCTCTTATGTGTACAATGCATAGTATGCCATTGAGTGGGTGTAACATGTTTGATTGAACCATTCTTCTGTTTTGTTTCTAATATTTTGCAATTATAAAAAAATGTTATAATGATTAACCTTATGCATTTGTATTTTTCTGTTATTGAAGGTGCTGCTTTTTTTTACTTTAAATCTCTTCAGATCAGTCCTTCAAACTATGAAATTTTATAATTTTAGTGTAGAAACTGCTTGTTATTTCGTTATTTGAGCTTTCTTTCTTTTACTTTCAGGGAAGAAACTTTTTGGTGAAGGCTATAGTGGACTAGAATATGATTACCGAGGTCTCATTAAACTTTACAACTCCATTGGAAATTATGAGAAAGTGTTCGAATATCACAATGTTCTGTCTAACTGGAACCGGTTGCGAGATCGACAGTATTCAGTGACCGATGCTCTTGAAGACGTCAACACCAGCCCCCAGTCGACTGAAGAAGTGGTGCAGTCCTTCCTGATTTCTCAGAATGTTGAGGGACCGAGCTGCTGAGGAATAACCTCAGTTAACCAATTTACCTTTTCCCAGATTCCAGGGAATTCATACTGTGAAATCAAAACCATGTTGTTTTCTGGGGCTGGAATTTGCATTGAAACACTGGTCCAGTCCATTGACCCTATTTGGGTGATCCCTATCTTGCAGAGTGTCTGTAAGAATAAGCATATATTCAGTTATATTCAGCATGTACCGCATGTATAAGTAGTCTGGCCCATATTTTCAACTTAGTAGAACAAACAACAGGAAACTTTTCTTTTTAAAAAATAATTCATTTTGCAGAAAGCCTGAAAGAAAAAAAGAACCCCAAAATAAAACTATTTAAGAGTTTAAAAGAGTTGCATTCTTATTATGTAAGGATGATTTTAACAACTTTTTAACATATAATTCTTCCTTGTGAAGGTATTCAATACTGTACTATAAAGAAATTTTATGGGGGAATCTTTATATGCAGTATAGTAAAGTTAACACAAGTACTAATAGAAGAGGGACATCCTGACTTAGGTTTGGCTACCTGACCCAGAGAAGTGAATACAACCACTCCAGAGCTCTATTACAAAGGAAGGACTGTCAGATTCATCTGTCCTGGACCACTGTTGATTTGTAAGTAATTGGAAACCTGATAGACCAGCAGTTTTAACTCTTCGATTTTTTTTTTTCTTTTGGTACAACAATGCAAGATACTCTGATAGCATTTGCTAACAGGACCACGAGGATCTAAAAAGGACCAGCCTAATGTAGAAAGGGTTAAGGGGTTATTTGGACCAGAGGCTTTAGATTATTATTTTAGCCCCTGCCTATACTTTTATCAGTAGAATAATTTCATTTAGATGTATAATAAAAAGTGATAATGCAAAAATTATATTCATGTAATAAACACCAAACTAGGGAAATTTGGCAATTTCTTTTGTCGAGGTACACAGATGGCAGTGCCATAAGCAAGTCTATAAATATCTGCTGCAGCCATCCCTCTCATTTTAAAAGTTACCCTAATAATCAATGCAGTTAACAAGTATGTTGGCTAAGAGTAATGAAATAGTTCTTGTCCGGATGGGAATTTTACTTTAGTTACTTTATGGTTTATGGGGATTAATGGAAAAAAATGCCCCCAAATAAGCAAGTCTTAGAATATTTCATTTTTATGATAAATAGTACAACTAGATAATTTTACTTGAAATTCAAGTCATATGGAAAGATTCCCTAATGATATATCTATTTTACTAACTTGTCTTTCTGTTTATTGGGTTTTGATATTTTTTTTAAGCCAGTCGGGTTATTTAATGGTGAGGTAATATTCAAATTTGAGAAGTGTGACATGTAGCAATCCAAGAAATAAAAAGATCTTTTGCTGTTACCTCAGTTCTTATTATAGTGGCCTATTTGGTGCCTCTATAGTTAAGAATCAGGGTTTTCCCCCTATTTTCAGGGGTTCATGACTTGGCTGTTAGAGATGCTACTCCTGGCTAACGCTTGGAGCAGTCCAATGGATGAGTGGATGTGTGTCGAATTTTGGTTTTTTTTCAACATGCACGTTGGGGTGAGGGGGAAAAAATCTAAACACCATATTGAATACAGAAAAATTAATTGGAGATTCCAGATAAATTTGATTTTGAACTTCCCATATATAACCTTGTTTTCAACTGTTATTTGCAGGCTTGTTGGTTATGAGCCAGTGTTTTTAAGTTCCCAGGAGGGGATTGACCGGGGGAGGTACCTAAACAGATGAAGCAAGTCCAGATCCTAAGATAATAACTATGTGATTTCAGAATCTGAGTTTATTCCTGAAATCAAGTTATTTTCAGTTTTGAAGAGTGCATTGGCACACCTGCACCTCTCCCCTCCCAGTTAATTACAATCTAATGTCAAGAGGCACTTCTTTATTAATTACCAAATAGTCTGTGTGACCAAGGACTAACATTTTTAAGTTACTCAGCTCTATCCTCACAGGCCTATGTATTTAATACCTCCAAAGACATTTTCAGGATAGACTTTGTATACTTTTGTTGGTTATTTAGAGTCCTGTGGTATGTTTGTGGTATAGGACTGTCATGGTAAATTGTTTTTCAATAAATATTTTGAAACTTATGTTTCTATATGAAGTTTTTTTTAATCTATATTTTTTGGTTTTGTGCACATGTAGTATTTCCTAGGATAAAATCAAGCAAATTACTTAAGGCCTCATCCTCTCTAATTCAGTTTGAACTTAGCTCACTCTCAGTGATAAAGCAACATGTTATTTAGAAGCCTAGGATCACAGGGTGATAATGTTAACTGGCAGCCAGTTTTTTCTTAAAAAAAAAAATCATTATTAGTAGTTTCCCCTTATTACCACTCCTTTAATGTAGTTTTTGGAAATCCATGCCCTTTGATTTCATGCAAATACTCTAGGTTAAGAGAAGAGATTTCCAGTTTCTGTTAGCAGTATAATTTAATATGCTATTATTTCTGGTTCTAGTGAAGAATAATACCCTAATAATTTAAAGTGTAGGATTTATCCTTTTAATAGGGATGTTTAGGATAAATTAGGGAGGTAAATGTCACCATCATTTCTAGAGTTTAAAAAAGTCTCAAAAATTTACCTCACAATAGGTAATAGCTTCCACAAACTTTTCTCATATAGTGAGGTTGTGTGTAAGGAAGCCTACACTAACTTAAAGATTCTTCTGGAAGTTCAGCAAAGTAATGTTAAATAAAGGGTCTTTGGTCTCGTCCTCCCTGGCTTCATTTCTTCTCTCTTATTCACTCTTTTCCTAAAGTTGGATGCTACTCAGTTGAGTGCATCAGGGAGCTCTATAATATTTGTACCACACAGGTGGTCCGTCACTCCTGCATTCAATTTAATGGAGCCAGTTGGGATTTTAGACCATAATGTTTATGGGTCGCCAAAGCTGACTGCTCAAAGCATTAGGACCCTCATTACCATCAAAGCTCTGTCTCTGCTTAAGAACAAATTTAATATTGCTTTGTGATAACTCTTGTGTAGTAATCCCAGTATGCTTTCACTTGTGAAAATAAAAGATTTAACAAAGACTTTTGTTCCTAGGCTATTTGGGAAGAGTTCATAATATGGTGAAAATTAAGTGCAAAGGCTGCAATCTTATAAATAATAAGAGTTGCCACTTGGCTGCTCCGTTTAGTGCAGACAGAACGCTAAACAATAAACACGTATCTAAAACATGATTGAAGCTTTGGCCATACTTTTGAAAGAATGGTTTGCTAAGTAGCAGGTATAGTTAACTGCTAGTTGATTTTTTTACCCCCCAGAATGTGCAACCCTGCTACTTCCAAACTTCTTTTTCTGGATGGCAAAGTCACTACTGGAAAAATACTTATAAGTGCAAACTTTTTTAAAAAGAGTTTTAGTTTTACTTTAAAAATTGACATATTTTACCTCTTGGCTTTGGAAGACCTCAGATCTTGCTAGGAAATTCATTTTTTAAAAACTGACATTTGGATTAATCTATAGCTTGAACACTAGTAGTTGTATTGTCCACAAATCTCAGGAATGTTTTAGGCAGAAAACTGGTTTTACCCTGTTGGTGATCTGAAGAAGTGTGCTTTAGGATTTATTAAATAATACTCTTCTTTACTCAATCCTAGGTATTGATAGCATGAGTGGCCTTAGTGAGTTTGTTGAAGTGTACATTTTTTTCAAAAGTAAAATTTAAGATTAAAAATATATGCTATATATAGATATCTAGAAAACTTGGTTTGTGGTGCACAAGTTAAGTGTTGGATCACTAAATAACTTGCAGGTACAATTTGTGTAACATTACTCATTTCTGTATATTCCTTTTATGGGAAGATATGTTGCCATGGTAACTAAAACTTTTCAATTTAGTTCTACTTTTATGATGTGAATGAATGCTACATTTTATTAAATATTACCAGGTCAGTACTATTTTTATACTTTATTAAGTAACGGGATATTAGTTTAATAGACTCAAAAAGGTCTTAATGAAACAAAAGCAAGTCACTAACAATTCTTTACATGAAAATCCCTACTAATAGTGCCACAGTAATTTCTATAGAAATATCTAAGGTTATTGATAGGTTTTTTAAAGACAATTCTTCATTGTGTCAGAATGACCTTTTCTTATCCTTATCACAAACTTGTAGTGCCCACCATTATTTGTAAACCATTAAACCATACTAAGTATGTTTGTAACCAACATTGTGATATATTCTGTACTTGTATTGCTAAAAATGAATTATTGACTTAATAAATATAGTGTTCCTGCATTCATAGTGTATCTGTTTCCAGTTTAGTTTGATCACTTTTGTTTGGGACTTGGGATTATTTAAACATTGCAGACTTGTGTTCATTAGAGAACAGTGTGAGAGAAACTGTTGGAACTAGAACAGAAGTGCTCGGGTTCAAGAAAAGTAAGATATGTGGCAGAGGAGGCACATGGTAACAGCATTTAGAAATGGTGCCCATGAAAGTACTTTGGAAAAGACAAAACACTACATTAGTGCAGGGGAGATTTTAAACTTTACAAAAATAACTACATCATTCTTTTCCCCAGTCTTCTAACTCAAAGGCTGAAAATAGGTGATGAGACCTGGTGAAATTCTGCTGGCTTTCATAGTAGAGAAAATCGTGGGTTTGGGTGTCAGTTCTAGCTCTGCCACTGAACAGGAAGAATCTGAGATTTGTCATCATAAGCCTCTTTGAGTTTCATTTCCTCACATGAATGGTGGGGTCATATTTGGCCTTTTAAAAATTCCACCATGTAACAGCGTGAATCTTAAGCACTCAAAACAGTTACAGGAAGTAAAACCAAATTTGAAAAGATGATAAGGAATATTAATCAACATTTAGACAAAATCACAATATCACTTGGAATAAATAACACTGGCTTCATCAAACCTGCCACCTTCAATGATAACAATATAAGTTTTTTTTTTCCTTTTCTCCATGACTTTGAACATACTGTTCCCTCTTTTATATGGAATGCCATTCCCTGCATTAAAGCATCTGTGAAGCTCAATGGACAAGGGAGGCTTCCCGTAAGGCCTGAGTTCTCTCTTGGTGCTTAACGCAGCATTTTATTTAAAGCTTTGTTAAGGCCATTACTATATAATCATAACTTAAAAGGTAAGACCATTTTGAGCTTATAAACTTTGTTGATTTGTGCATTTATTTAACAAATTTACATAGTTGACTAACACTATTCTAGGTGTGTTAGCAAACCACACCCACTTTATACACCTTTATTGTTTGAAAATTCAAGGCAAACATTAGGATGGCTATTATCTGTATTATTGGTGAGAATGGTGCTTTGTAAAAGAGGTGATTTCTCAAAAAATTAAAAATAGAATTACCATGTCATCTAGCAATCCTTCTAGGTACATACCTAAAAGAATTGAAAGCAGGACCTTGAACCAGTATTCATACACCTATGTTCATAGCATTGTTCACAATAGCCAAAAGGTGGAAGCAGCTCAAATGTCCATAGAGAGATAAATGGATAAATAAAATGTGATATATACATACAATGAAATATTCAGCCTTAAAAAGGAATAAAATTCTGACATGCTATGATATGGATGAACTTTGAGGACGTTATGCTAAGTGATATAAGCCAGTCACAAAAGGGAGTGGAGAGAGAGTAAATGCTGTATGATTCCACTTATATGGTGTATATAAAGTAGTTAAACTTACGGAAACAAAGTAGATTGATGGTTTGTCAGAGCTCCGAGGAAGAGAAAATGGGGAGTGGTTGCTTAATGGGTAGAGTTTTAGTTTTGCAAGATGAAAAATTTCTGAAAATCTGGTTATACAACAATGAGTATAGTTAACACTACTGAACTGTACACTTAAAAATAAGATGGTAAATATTGAATTAGCACAATTTTAAAAATTTCAGGGCAAAGGCTTTCAGCTTGCATAAGCAGTTAGGCATGATATACAAAGTTTGCAAAATCTGTGAGTGACTTTCTGAATTGGAATGTTGATGTAACATATCAAAGTTTATTTGCATTTAAAATCCTGCTCAGCACAGAATCAGGCTTTGTTTTTCATTCTTGATGCTACTTAAATAGTTTGAGTATTTTTCTTTACTGTTGCTGGCTACGATCCACTGCCAGTCCATATTCTGCATCTGTTATGTTGGTGTCAGAGTAATCAAATTTCTCTACACAAGGAAAAAAAAAGACGAGTTATTTAAAAACTACCTTTGATGCTTTTTGACTGGAATGAAGTTAACTTAGTATATATTTGATCACTCAAATCTTTAACTTTTTAGAAATACGATTTAGCTAACAGCAGCTTTTATCAAAAGGTGAGAGTTCTAGGAAGGCAGCATGCTTAATTAATATGAGAATAAGTCCAGAGCAACTGCCTCTAACCAGACTTGGGACCTTAGGCAAGATAACTCTATTTCTGAAGAAGAAGACACTACTTGTCTGTTGGATTATTATGAAGATTAAATGAACGCAATGCCTGGGTCAGTACTAGGATCATTGTAGACACTGAATATGTTAATTCCTTTCTGGCTTCCTCCTCCCTTGCTAGAGGGTTATGGAGAAGAAAGAGGAGACTGAAAACCAGTTTTCTTGAATACATGATAATCAACATGCCTAGCCTGATGATTCCATCTGCAAGATGGCACCTGTAAGACCCACTTGTCACCCAGCATCATAGCAGTTACTCAGGGTTTCCATAAAAAGCAGGACTGAGCTAAGCATTTTGATTTCAGGTCAGGTTTGTGGAGGAGGAGAGTTAGGTAGATTGTGTCCTTTTGAAGCTTGGTTCTAAGAAGTCACTTAGAGTCAAAAAGGGGAAAGTCTCAGAAGAAAGAAATTGGAAGAGAGCTTGTCAAAGCCATACATTTCTGGGAAGCTCACAGCTGACTAGCGCAACCCAGAGCAGAAAGGTAATGCAGACAGACTCATTCAAGCCTGAGATTGCCCTGGGCCCTCAGATCTCTCTGCCTCTAAAGACACCCATATCCATTTTCTAACTTCTCCCTGATAGATAGATTGTCATATTCCAGAGACATCTCTAATATGGTTTAGGGTATTAAAATTAAACTGGGATCCCACATCTGCCACTTCGTAGCAAGAAAGCACCCATGACTTCGGGAGGACAAGCTGTTCAGTACAGCAGTATCCTTGTCTCCAATAATTTCAAAGCCATAGATAGGAGGCTCTCTGGCTGCAGACTCTCAGGGCAACTTGAGATTTTTAGGAAGCTACCCTCCTACACCAGAAGTTATACCACAAAATGGGAAACAAAGAATAAGAAAAAATGTTAAATGAGGTTCACACGAACTTTAGGGAAAGTTCCAAGAGACTATGAGATCTCTTTTCTCAACCTAACCTACTTTTCACTTCTAAAAGTTCTATTTGGTTCTTTCAGAATCTGTCTACTCTTCCTATCGTATTGTTTTATTACCTTTTTCTCCTTTTTTATAAAAACCCAACCCTACATGGATATATAGATCAATGGACCAGAACAGAAAGTTCAGAAAATAGACCCGAATAAATCAGGAATTTAATATGTAATAAATAAAGGTAACATTTAAATCAGTGTAGAAAAGATGGATTTTTCTCTACATGGTATATTTTATAAATACACTTCCACATACACAAGGACCGTTAGCCATCTGAAGAAAAATACATTGGATTCCTATTATACAATTTAAACCAAAGTTAATTTCAGATAGACCAAAGATCTAAATGTAAAAACTGAAATCCTAGTGCTAAAAGAATTTTAAATATCCTTTGAGTGAGCAAGAACTTTCAAAGTCATATAGTAGCCATAAAAGAAAGGACTGATCATTTAACTACATAAAATAGAAAATATCTACACATACAAAAGAAAAATCATAAAGTCAAAACACAGTAGCACTGGATGTGGAATCGGGAAACCTGGGAAGTCAAGATTTCAATTCAGTTGTGCCAGCCTCTAAGCCTTTGTTTTCTTTGTGGTGGAGAGGAGTCTCCCTCTCAAGTTTTTTTTTTTTTTTTTTTTAAATTAAATTTACAAAACTCCCTCACAAGTATGACATTAAGATCTGATGAGATGGAGGCAAAGCACTTTGCCATCTCTCCTGAGTTACATGCATTGTGGCAGTGTTACTATGCAGAGGAGTCTACCAGGTACCCCCGAGGCCAGGATGGGAGTGCATCAGGCAATGGTCAACTATTACATCTGTGGTCATTTAAGGCCTTAGGGAAAGTATTCGTCATTCTCTAGGAGAGAGGCCCTGCTTTAGGGTCTGCCCAGTCTGGCCATCAGCGAAGCATTTTCTCATAAGGCGGCATAGGCCAAGATGTGATTTGGAGGTTTCCACAAAGGCACCCCATCTCAAAATAGCCTCCTTTAACCACCTGCTTCTGGTGTCCCCAAGTCCACCTTAGACAGACATACACTGAGTTTGAACAAATGTATAATGACATGTACCCATCATTCTGTCCTAAAAATCCTCTGTGCTGTTGGAGGGTTTTGAGCAGAGTAACATCTTATGATCTGCCTTTTTGGAAATCTGAGATCTTACTGAATTTGAGGAGTTAATAGGGCTCCAAAGCCAAACCTCACCTGTTGCTTGTTTTGCCTTCAGGTCTCTGGATTGTCCCCCACGGCAAATATGAAGCTCCCTCACTGCTCCCTGGTTTCCCTTTGCACACACACTGCCCTGGTCGGAAGAATAAATAAAGTCCCATAATTCCTCTAGATGGCAGTGCTGACTCACACACAGGGATGACCTGCTTTGTTTTCTTCCCAGAAAAGCCTGCACTTTCCCTGGGATCTTGTCAGTGAAATCTCTCAGGTGCAGAGAAAATTGAAAAGCCCTCAATCATTAGGGATACCTCCAGCCTGCTTGCCCTTGTCCCACAAATTCTCCCTGTTTTGTCAGCACTGTCAGGGACCACCCAAGCAAGCCTGCCCCCAGCCCACGCCTTAGCAGTCTCATCTTGCCTCTTATGGAAGGCAATGGGTGTAAGGAACAAAGAAAGAGCTGGGGCTGCCCCTTTCTTTCCCTGTTTATGCTTCTTCGTACTAGTTCTTCAAGTCTAGATTGATATTCATTTTACATTTTTAAATCTTTGACGGGATTCACTCCTGAATACAAATTGGGGGAGGGAAGGGTAGAAGAAAGGATCACACACATTTATTCTGTTCCTACCCATTCCAGGACAGCACTGCAGTACTGTATGATGTTGCCTCAGGCAGAGCCTTGATGCTCCTATGTTTTTGGAAAATGATTAGACCTGCTTCCTCTCCTAGAGTTGACCTCCATCTACCTGGACTTTCTATCTAGAAACAACGTGCCATCATCACTTCTCCTCTCCTTCCTTTCCTCCCTCCCTCCCTTTCTCGTCTCTCACATTTATTACCAAAAACTCAATTTTACTTTATATTATTCACCCCTTCCCTTTTATGCACATCTTCACTGACTTTGTATTCCCCAAAGGTAGCAAATACTAAAGGCTAAAAGGGTCAAACAGGCGGTAACTGAGTGAAGACCAGTCTGTAATCATCAGGGAGTGGTGGGGACTGTGATGTACTGGAAAGAATATCAGTGAAACCTAAGCAACTATGTCTCAGCCCCAGCTAGGCGTTGTCATGTGGGAAGGCAGGTCCACATTTGGGCAGTTTTTAAAAGCCAGGATCTAAAAAATGAAAGTCGTTGTTGTTGCTGTTGTTGTTAATGTGAAAGTCCTGAGTTAATATTGGCAATTAATTCTTCTAAACATGTTTTAAACAAGTGGAAAACCACAAGTGGCAAATAAAACACATCAGTGGTCTGAATTTAGCATGCAGGCTGCCAATTTTTGACTGCCGGTTTGAACCACCATGCTATTAAGGCTATTAATGTTGTTTGATGTTTCTTCTTTGTTCTGCCTCTGCCCTCTCTCAGTCTCCAAAGCATCTCCCCAGTACCCAAGGCATAGCAGCCCATTCCACTACTTGACTTCTCCCTTGTCTCTGCCTTCCCCCCACCACCTCCAAGTTTACCACAAGATCAAGTCTAGATGATTTAGACAAGTTGCCAGACTTATTCTGATGCCAGGCCCGCCTTATTCCTCCTGTGCTCTTCCCTGATAAATGAACATCAGCTCTTCTGTTATTCCCCAGAGGCCTTCCTCAGGCACCTGTATTTACCCATTGTAATGTCTACTTATTTCTCCCCCACTAGACTGTGATGGTCCTTGACACAAGCAACCACCTCTGTATATCTGTGTGAGGCACCTGCCACTCAGAAGGTGGCTGGCAAATATTTTTTAAATAAATGAAAAAATGAATGAAAGATGATTATTAGACAAGTAGAGCTGTCTTAAGGATGTTTATTTCCACCCCATTTATGTATAATTAAGACCGGAGTCTCTTTTTGATAAAAACAGTTTTCTTCTTTCCCCTCATGGATCCCCATCCCCCCAGGTGCAGAGGTGTTGAAGACAGACAAGTGCTCTGGGACCCAGAGCTAGCTGGCCCTCTGTCTCAGCCAAGTCTTCTTATGGGCAGGTCTCTGGGGTTTCTGGGGCTTCTTTAATCCTCTTCCTCTTGAGTTTTGGTTGTTGAGGAAGTTTCCTTAAAGAATCTGAAAAAGGGAAAGTCAGAGACAGTCCTGACGACATCACGAATAGTAGGAGACTCTCAGTCTGTAACATTTAGGGGTAGGGGGATGGTAGGGACCAACAGGAAGGACAACAAAATCTTATCTTTCATCCAACCTGTCCACAGATACTCTTGTCTCACAGATACACTGTGCGGAAAGAGACAGTATATCTCTCCAGTTTATAAGACCTCCTCCAGGCACAGAGTAAGGAAATGGCCTGCTCAAAGCGTGAGACAACTTAGGGACACAGTGGGGACCGGACCCACGTTTCTTGAGATCTGACTTCAGACTCTTATTCCTCTCTACTCCTCTCTTAGGTTTCTTGCCCCAGTTCACAGTACTTTGCTCCTGGACTGTTTCCAAACACCACTGCCATCTTTTTATTTAAGAACTGACTTATGAGGTGTCTACAGACTTGCCACCCTGAACAAGCCCGATCCCATCTGATCTCGGAAGCTAAGCAGGGTCGGGCCTGGTTAGTACTTGGATGGGAGACCACCTAGGAAGACCAGGTGCTATAGGTATAAAAATTAAAAAATAAATAAATAAATAAAATAAGGGATTGTAAGCCGACAAAGTCCTTGCAATCTGTGAGGTCAACCAAGGGTTGCCTCACCTAAAAAAAAAAAAACTGACTTATGAACATAGCGCCAAAGAAACACCGTGCACGTTACTATTAATTGCACAGATAGAACTCCGAGATTATAGCCCCTTCATGGTGAATCCACCAGTGGTACATTGTATGTTTTCTCATGTAACACACATAATGTGAAGAACACAAAGTCATCTTTAAGGTGTTCCATCCAGAAAAAAAAATGTTTGACATGAATTCATGAAGACTTTTCATCTAACGTCCTGTTTAAAGATAGAGAAACAAGCTTAAAAGATGTCAAAAGTAAGCAACAAGAAAAAAGCAGAAAGTGGAACGTTCTACCTAATGATAGCCTGATTTCTTCAATAGGTCAGGGTATTATTAAAAAGGGAATTTTGTTTGGGTGAAAGAAACTTAGGAGACAATCAGATGAAATGCACGGTTTCGGAAACCAGTGCAAAAGATATCTTTGACAACTGGGAAAATGTGAATATAGAATACTTAATCCAACAATAAAATGAAATGAAAACATTAACATGGAAGTTTGATATAATTAACTGAAAAAAAAGCAAGTTCAAATCAAAATTCTATACATAGCCTGATCTCAGTTTGGTTAAAATACATGTATTTATATGCCTAAAATAAAATACTTCTAAAAATACATCTAAAATACATCTAAAAATGCTAGCAGTGGTGATGACAATGTGATGTTTATATTTTCTTACTTTTGCTTATCCATATTACCTAATTTTCTATGATATGCTTATGTTTGTAGTAATAAAATGTTATTTTAAGAATTGCATAAAACCAAACTTCTAAATGCACCATCCAAGGCTTTCTCTTGTTACCCTCCTGCCTATATTTCTCCAACCTGTTCTTCCATTCACGTTCAAGCCCAGACTGTCTGCTCAGTGCCTCTCACCTTTGCACACTTCCTCAATTTAAACTGTAGGCACAAAGCCAGGCAGGGTTCTGGGTCTCAGTAGCTGCCTTACCCGTGTCCACTGTACCTGATCTGTTCTCACCCCTGCTCTCCCACTCAGTCCAGCTGTGACTGGTGGATGAGTCCCTGAGGGCTGCTGGCTGCATTAGCCCGGCCAGCAGGACCTTCAAAGGAACATCTGGGTCCAAGTTAGGGCCATGCTCTGAGATCCTAGGTCACCCTGTTTGCCTTCACTTTCTTCCCCTGTAGCTAGGCAAGAACAGCTCATTTTGGCCCCAGGAGCCAGTTCCAGAAGCGTGAGGGGTAGGTGGCTGCAACATCTCTCTGTACCTCAGTGCACAGGAGAGGCCTTCATAGGTTCAAACCTTGGCTGGAGCCCCTCGCATTGAAGAATTTCTGTCCCCTATCCCCATAGCCTCTGCCCAGAGAGCCAGGCAGTGCGGTCATTGAAGAGAAAGGCCCTTCCCAGGCCATCTGGCTGCACTTCTCCTCCCTGTGGGAATGAATCCTTCCCTCAGCCCATATGCCACCCAACACTGAGAGTGGCCATCCTGCTGCTGCTTGTCCACTTCCTTGGAGTCCTCACTCATGGCCTCTAGACACAATCTCTGCTCTGCTTCTGGTCATACGGGAAAGTGCCTTCTGGTAAATTTTAACTGAAAAATGTGGGATTCAAAACCATGTATCATGAGACCTCTGGGGAAATTACACGGAACACTGAAGGAAATTCAACATTAATAGTCACAGTCTGGGTCATGGGTGATTTTCCTCTCTTAAGTTTTATACTTATCTTTGCGTCTCAAACTTTCTATAATGAGCATATCTACTGGGAGAGGGACAAAAAAAGAAAAAAGAAAAAGAGAAGAGGAAGGAAAATGGATAGAAAGAGAGATGCAGGGATGAGGAGAAGTTGGAAGGAGGAAAGAGGCACAAGGAAGTCTGCTCCAGGTTGGAGCACACACGCTCTCCTCCAGGCACCACTCCCCCAGCTCCTAGCGGGCATCACCTGTCCTGACTTGGATCCTGGATCTCTGCTCCCCGCTCAGGGAGGCCTCGCAGCCTGGGGCCTGCATCTTGGACAGCCTCTCCTTCATGCCGCTGATGTTGCCGTGCAGCCCCCAGGCGCTGCAGAGCTTGGGCAGACTATCTTCTTGGTCAGCCAGCAAGGAGCTCTCCGGAGTGCCCAAGGGGCAGAATGCCACCTGCAACGAGATCATAGTGTTGAGGAGAGTGTGGAAAAAGGGGACCATGTTCTAGAGCCCCAGCCCTGCCCTTGTCAGGAAACTGCTGCAGTCTGGCTGCACCTCACACCTGCCAAACTAGAAAGATGGAGTCACAGAAGCAGGAGAAAAAGGATCATAACGACATTGAGGGTAGGCTGCCAACTGTTTCTTCTTGGATGGTTCTTTGCTTTGAGATATGTCCTCTGTTTCTTTTTTGAGTGATAGTGTCTTATGTGTTTGTAACGAAACAATGTTTTAAAGTCCTTTGCAAAATTAAAATTGAGAGCCTGAAAATATCTTTTGAAATTTTCCTGGCCGCTGACATTCAGGAATCACTAAAATGGCAGTTCTTCCTGTTCAGAGGAAGCATCACCGAAACGTGATCTATCCATTCATGTTCAGAGGAAGAAATGGAGACCCAGAGAGGGAGATGATTTGGTTAAAGCTGCACAGCTTGGGGTGGGAGGGTAATGGTAAGAGCAGGGCTTTCCTCTGAGCCGGATCATGTTGGAACCTGGCTCTTCTCTCTCACTCGCTATGTGGTTTCAGTCAAGTTACTTTATCGCCCTGCGTTTGGCATCTTCATGAACACACTGTGGGCAATAATTCTAATTACCATTTAGGGTTACTTTTGCAGATTACAGGAGGGAACATGAAGTTCCTGGCACATCAGAAACTGTTACCTATGTTTATTAGTTTGGACTCGTGGTTCTCAAAGTAGGGTGCTCTGTGAACTCCTGAGGATCCCTGATATTTTGACTTCACAGCCCCCCCTAAAAAGTGAGGTCCACTCAAAAATGTAAGAGAAACCACTGGAATTTCATGTAACCTAATGTGAAAATTTCATTAATACAAATCTGAAAAGGCTACATACTATATGATTCCAACTAAAAGTCATTCTATAGGAACAGTAAAAAGGTCAACGGTTGCCAGCAGTTTGGCGGGAAGGATTGAGAATAGGTGGAGCACAGGGTGGGGGTGAGGGGGTAAGGCCGCGAAAAACTATTCTGTATGATACTATAATGGTGAATACATACCATCATACATTTGTCAAAACTTGTAAAATGTACAACTCAAAGTGCACACCCTAATGTAACCTAAGGACATTATAAGTTAATGATGTATCAATATTGGCTCACTGATAATAACAAATGTACCACTTTAATGTAAGATGCTAATAAATAGGGGGAAAAAAGGGGGTGGATGGGAACTCTCTGTACTTTCTCCCCAATTTTTCCGTAAACTTAATACTGTTTAAAAATGTTCAATGATATGATTTTGGATTCCACAATGCAACTAAATAATTGCTACTTGTCGATTTTTGGTGTGGCATCAAAGAAAAATATCCACAGTTATCTGAAAATGCTAATTAAATACTTCTTTTTCCAAGTATATATCTGTATAAGGCTGGGTTTTCTTCATGTACTTCAACCAAATCAATATGTCATAAGAGACTGACCACAGAGGCAGATATGAGAATCCAGCTTTCTTCTATTAAGTCAGACACTAAAGAGATGTGCAAAAATGTAAAACAATGCCACTTTTCTCATTAAATTATTTTGTTTTGGAAAATAAAGTTATGTCTCATAAAAATTACTTATGTTAACATGTAAGGGGCTCCTCATTTTTATTTTTAAATGGATTAGTGGATATATATTTTGATTTTTTTCTTTAGCTTTAATTTCTAATAGGGCAAATCTCAATAGACATAACCTACATAAACAAATGCTTTTGGGGGCATTTTTAAGAGGGTAGAAGTGACCCGAGACCAAAATGTTAGAGAATCACTGGTTTTGGACAAAGCCAGGTCAGGCTCTGTCAACAGTCCCCAGAGCCTTTTTCAAGCTGGCTGTGACTTTCTGCCTGGCCTCACCCGTCCCCACCCATGGCTCCACAGGCATGTCCCTGATTCTGCTAACATCAGGATGTGAGTGTCGCGGTTGAAGACATAGCAGAAACTTGAAGCTGAGTCTCTGCCCTCTTCGGCCCCATTTTGTGCCCACTGCAGGGGTAAAGGTAAGGGCAGTGGGGTCTTCCTCAGGTGCTGAGCTGTGGAAAGGACTGAGGGATACTGGTTGTATCAGAGGGCCCCCTCGGTCCCAGGCCTCCCCACATAACCCAAGAACATACCAACCACCTCCCAGCCAGGCCCAGGAGGGGCTTTCCCGCACGCCTCACCAGGAGCTTGGTGTTCTGATTGCTCTTGGTGTACTTGTAGAGCCTGCGCAGCTCCTTCGCCTCCAACTCTGAGAAGAGGGAGACAAATCTCCAGAGCATCCTGCAGGGTGGAAACCCGAGGATGAGGGATGCAGAGCTCAGCCCTTCTCCCTCCAGCATTTGTCTTGTGGCCAGGACCACTCAGGGAAAAATGGGCCACATGCTGCCTCCTTGGTTTTTGGTCGGGGATATGGAATAACCAGACCTTGACTACCCCAACCTGGTAAGGAGGACCCATACCACACAATAGTTATTCAATCAGAGATCATTCTCAGGGCCAGGAGGGTTCTTTGTCCACTGTGTATACAGCCGCAGAGAATTAATGCTGCTCTGAGTGACCAGAGATCCCTGTTTTCTCCACTCCATCTTCACCACACTCGCTCCAGGATCCTGACTCTTTGACATAAAGGACTAGGGGATCTTGACTGAGGTTTGACCTTGAATCTAGAGGGGATGACGCAGGGGTGGGTATAGTGGGAAAGGCAAGGAGGCTGCCTTACTTCTTCCAGTGCTTGATTTCCCAGGTTCGGCAGCAGTGCTGCAGAAAGGTGTTGATGTGGTCCCCTAGGACCACCAGGCTCTGCTTCATGTACTTCAGCCTCTTCTTCTGGGGAAGGTCCTTGGGCAGGTGTAACTTCCGCAGAAACTTTTTCAGTGGCCTTAGATATTCTTTACACTGAGGAGGCAACAGGTAAAGTGAGGGGCCATAGGAGAAAAGAAGAGGCGGATGGGAAGCCCCACGTAACCAGCAGTTTGGCCCAGCTGCAGTCCTTGTGGCCCGGGAAGGGTTACACGTGTTAAGTGAAGAGGCTTCAGTCAACCTCTTATCTCACTTTTCCCCCAAGAGTGTGACAAGTGGGGCAATGAGCTATGGGTCTGAGGCCTGCCAATTTCTGACTCAGGTCTCCTGATCTGTGGGGAACAGAGGACAGGGCCCTGGGCTGGCCCCTTACTCACAATTTTGAAGGTATCCTGGTCCAGGCCCTTTGCATGGCGCACAAGTGAGTCTCCAGGGGAGACGGTGCTGGAGATCCTCTCTAAGCAGGGTACATCTGTCACCTGGGAGGAGGCAGGTCAGCTGAGGGGTTTGGGCTACTGCTCCTGAGGGGGCAATTCTGGACAACCACTTGCCCAAGTGCCAGCCAAAGCCCTTCCTCTTTTTCCCTATGACCTCTTCCTTGAGCCAGCACTGAGGGGAGTGAGTCCTGGGCGAAGAGTCCTACCTCTGAGAATCCCTGTTTAGAATACCTAGAATGCCCGATGCATTTCTTTTACAATAATTATAGCATAGTATACTAGCCAACTTTTCAAGGCACTTAAACTCATTTTATTCTCCCGCAAATTCTGTGAGCTTAGATATCATTCTTCCTGGTTAGAGATGAGGACACTAAGGCACCAAGAGATTTAAGTAACTCCTTGGGGAAAGGAACAAGGATTCATTTACTCATTCCTTCAGCAAACATTTATTGAATGCCTAAGTTACAGGCCCACCTCTTTGTATCCTTAGCCCTTAGCTTTATGCCATGCTAATGGGCACTGCGTGTGATGGTAATGGTAATAGTGAGAAGGACATTTCTGATCGATAAGTGTGGAGAGAGGAGGCATGAAAGCTGAAAATTAATGAAGACAAAGGGTGAAATAATACTTGGAGTCAAAACACAAGATTAGATGGACATGGCCGGATTTGCACCCAACCTTTCAAAAACCTCTCAGACAAGTGAACATTAATCCTTCCTGTTTTCAGGGGAAACAAGGAAGATCCAGACTCAGACCCCTGAAGGGAGAAACCAGGGAAAAGGAGAGAAGTAGATGGAAAGGGTAAGAGACACAGGCTCCTTCAGCCCCAGAGAGAGGGGATTCTGGCCGATCGGCTTTATAAAATCTACCACACACACCACACAACCACACATACAGACCATAATGTATGTACACACACACACACACACACACACACACACACACACACACACACACACACACGAAAGCCCTTGTTTCTCCATAACCAACAATCATCTTGCTGAGAATATATGTCCTTGGAAAACATCTGTTTGAATTAACCTTTTTTTGTTCTTTTCGTCTCTTGCTAACTCATGTACCTTGCCAATTTTCCTTCTTCACCTCTTCTTTGAATTTCATATTCTCTGCTTTTTAAAACTAGCTCCTCAGACTCTCTTTTCCTCCCACCCCCACATCTCCAGTGGCTTCACCTTCTCTAGTGGCTTGTCCCCTTCACCCTCTTGCCCATCTGAGGCTTCCATCTCAACAGATGTGCTTGTGGGCTCCAGAGTGGCACTCCTCACGTCTGCTCAGGCTTCTGACCTACTGCTTCTGTGACCTGAGTGTCTCAGGGAGTGGGCAGGTAGGCTCCAGAACCCGGAGCAAAACCATGGCAACTGCCAACACAGAGCCCATCCCCCCCACCCTCATTCCTAGGGGTAGATACCAGCCATCGCCTTCAACTGGGAATTGGACTACAAAGATAAGTAAGCAAGATGTGCTGGGAAGCCCCAGGACTTTGTCAGAGCTCACAGCTGCCCAGGAGAGGCTGGCACCCCTTCTCCCAAGAGAACTGTCAGATGGCGTTGATTTTGAACCCTCGTAAGGCTTTTGAAGTAACTTTCCTGCGTGTGTCCCATTCACGCCTCCTCAGTTACACCGTGGGATCCCTGAGCGTGAGGACCAGGGTTTGTAGCATTCCTTTCTCTGAGGCTGCCCTCAGAGAATGGAACACAGTAAATCTCTACTGAGCTAGATCTTCTCTTCCATCCCCGCTAGCCTCTAGGAAATTATCGTGTTAGGGTGTGTGTGTGTGTGTGTGTGTGTGTGTGTGTGTGTGTGTGTGTTTAAGGGCGTGTACAAAAATACTAGCCATCACGTATCATGTCAATTAACCATCACGACTGTCTTCTCTGGGATAAGGTACCAGCAGTGATCTCATTTCACAGAAGAGGAGCCGAGACGTAACTTGCCTTAGGTCCTCCGCCACTGAATGGGGTGCCGGCGTTTCGGTAGGATTCCGACTGCTCTGGCTTTCTCCACGGACGCCTCTCTCCGCGGATCTGAGTAAGCGCCGCCGACGGGGTCAGGGCGTCTCCCTGGCCGGCTTGTCCCGGAGGTCTTCAGAGGCTCTGGGAGGAGCGGGGTCCAACCGGCGACCTCGCCCCTAACGCGGCACCAGCGCCCCCTCGCGTCCTTCATCAGCGCACACGGCGGGTTTCGCGCGGTGCTAAGACCATTGCAGCCTCCGACTCACTTAACCTGCATCCTCTTCCCTGGAACGCTGAACTCCATTTCCTGGCTCTCGTCTTCGTGTCCTCTGGGTACGGGGTCCCATTTTATCTACCCGATTCGGCTTTTTTTCTCGCTTGACTTCTTGGGCTTCGGGTCGGACCGCCATTGGCCAATGGATCCAGAGCGGGGCTTTGGGTCTTGCCGGTTGGTCCTTCAAGGCCTCCACCTCGCCATCTGGCGGCGGTACCCTCACATGACAAGGGGCACTGCGGCTCGATATATCTAGGGGACAATGTGGTTCTGCTTCCAAACTGGAAGGTCTGTTCTCTGAGCATTAATTTAAGATTATTTTGCAGCTATTAAGACGGATGGTTATATTGGCAAGAGTGAGGAGAAGGAGCTCTCTTATGTAATTTATTGGGAATGATAATTGGTAAACAAAGTATGTAGTAACGCAAATTGTTAAATGTGCATTCTTTTTAACCCACAAATTCTACTTCTGTGAACTAGTCTTAAGGAGAGAAGATGTATGTATGAGGACTGTTACAGTGGTGACAATTTAGAAGCAACTGAAGTGTCATCGACATCTGTTCATGCTGTTGAGTTGGCTCTGGCTCCTGGCAACTCTATGAAAGAGTGATGTCCACAATGTCCTGTCCTCAACAGCCCTACTCAACTCCTGTAGACTCATGTCTATGGCTTCTTTTATGGAGTCTATCCATCTCATATTTGGTCTTCCTTTTTCTTGCTGCCTTCTATTTTTCCCAGCATTATTGTCTTTTCCAAAGAACCCAGCCTTCTAATGATGTGCGGGAAAGACAGCTTCAGTTTTATCACTTTTGCCTCCAGCTATATTTTAGGCTTAATTTTCTCTTAATTTTCTCTAGGACCGACTTGTTCATCTTTCTCTTTCATCAAGGTATCCATACAGCTCTCTTCCAACATCATAATCCAAATGAATCATTTTTCCTATCAGCCTTCTTCACTGTTCAACTTTCATGTCCACACATAGTAATTGGGAATATGAGAGTGTGAATGTTCTTAGTCTTGGTCTCTAATGACACATCTTTGTTCTTGATGATCTTTTCTAATTCTTCCATTGCTGCCCTTCAGAGTCTCAGCCCTCTCTTGATTTCTTGGCTGCACTCTCCATTTGAATTGATGGCTCAACCAAGGTAAACAAAATCTTCAACAATTTCAATGTCTTCATTGTCTATGTTAAAGTTGTGTATCTCTTCTGCATTCATGGTTTTTGTCTTATTGATCTTCAAATGCAGTCCTGCTTCGGCACTTTCTTCTTTCACTTTAATCAGAAGCCTTTTCAAATCATGGTTATGTTCTGCCTGTAAATTGGTGTCATCTGCATATCCCAGATTACTGATATTTCTTCTACCAATTTTCATTCTTTCCTCTGAAGTTTTTAATATATGTTTTGCATACAGCTTAAAAAAATAGGAAAATAAAATGCACCCTTATCTGACACCTTTGCCTATAGGAAACCATTCTGTCACTCCATATCCTGTCTTGACAGTGGCTTCCTTTCTACAATGCAGATTACATATCAGGACAATAGAGTGCTGAGGCACACCTATTTCTTTCAGAGCAACCCATAACTTTTCATGATCCATGCAGTCAAAGGTTTTACTGTAGTCTATAAAACATAGACTAACCTTCTTCTGAAATTCTTTGGGGCACTCCAGTATCCAACAAATGCTCACAATTTGATCTCAAGTGCCTTTTCCTTTTCTGAATTCAGCTTGAACTTCTGCTATTTCTTGCTTCATGTAAGGTAGAAGATTTTGTTGCTTTACCTTGAGCATCACTTTTTTGGGATTGGAAATTAGAGGAACGGTTCTATAGTTACCGCACTCTTTGGCATCCTCTTTCTTAAAGATCGGGATGCATGTTGAACATTTCCAGTCTGTAGGTCATTGTTTTGCTTTCCGTATTTGTTGATATTCTTGTTAGTATTTTGACAGATTCGGTCTCTGTGGCTTGAAATAATCCTATTGGTATTCCTTCTATCCTTGATAATTTATTTCTTCCCAATACTTTCAGGGCAGCTTTCACTTAGCTTTCTGAAATTACAGATTCTTCCTCATAGAATCTTCTTCAAAAGTATCCATCATTCTTTTGTCTCTTCTGTATAGATTTTCAGTGTCCTGTTTCCACCTTCTCAATTTTCTCCTCATCAGATAATGTACTTCCTTGTTGGTCATTTGGCATTCTTAATCTAGATTTGAATTTCCCTCTGTTTCTTGAATCTTCTGGTAGAGATCTCTTATTTTTTCTTTTTTTCATTCTCTTCCATTTCCTTACTCTGACTATCATAATAGCTCTCTTTATTTCTATGCGATAGTCCTTGAAAAACTGTGTTCACGATTCTAACTCTGTCATCAATAGGAAAGAGTAAATAAACACTCATTTACTCTTAAGTATGGTACACTCATACTTAAAAAAACTACTCTATTAAATATTAAAGTTAAAATTAATTTTTAAAAATACTTCACCACTAAAATACTACCAGGTATTAAAATACTACTCTCTTTATAATTTTATATTTAATAACATGGAAAACAGAAACTAAAACAGCATGTATTGTATGATCCCATTTTTAAATGTATGTATTTATATATGCATAGAAAAAAGTCTTGAAAGATACATTTCAAAATATCAAGTGTGATTTTTCACTTTCTTTGCATATTGTCTGCATTTTTTAAAATAACAAATATACTTTACATTTACAGTCAGATAATAAAGGAGAGCTGTGTCTGTTTTTAAAAGCTACTCATAAGGAATAAATAACATCCTTACAAATGTTATATAATGCAAAGTTTAAAAACAGAACACAAAAGAGTATTGCATTATAAGTCAAACTTAAGTAAGCGGACATGCATAGGGACCAAAACTGGAAGAAACACAGTAAAAAAAGAAACAAGGAATTGAATAGATAGAGAAATATTATGTATCTTTTCCTTTCTCTGCCCCAAATAATATCTATAATTCAGAAGGGGAAAATAAGTGTCAGAAACTCAAAAAGCTTATCTGTCTCTGCCTGCTTCTTCACTCCACTCCGCTTTTTCTCTTTCAGAACCTCCAGCAAGTCCAAGATTCTGGATGCCTACCCTATTCTCATAATGGTTTTATTATCAACCACAGGGAATAGCTTCAAGAGACACTTAAACCTAACAGCAGCCAGGAATAATGGCCAAACATTCAACTTTAACTAAGACAAAAAAAATCTATTGCCTTTGGGAGACATTCTTCAAAATTTAATTGATCAGCATGAAATGACTCTATAGGGCAAGTCAACTCATTCAACAGAGTCATTCCTCCAATATTTAATTTAAAAAACCCTATGCATACTTTGGGCAGGTGGGGGTAGGAGTGAAGGGTGGTAAGAGTATTCTTTTGTCTGCCTTCCACAAACTTGTTTCTTAATCATTATGTCTCACCCCAACTCCTCGGAGCACATGATAGAGCTCATGAAATTTTTGTCATATGCCTTGAATTTGGTGGATATGGAAAACCATTCTTAGCACTTCTCATAGACTTGAAAATCTTTCCTTCTCTCTCTCTGGGTTAAACAGTGACTCAGAGACTTTTTATTCCCTAAAAGAACTCTCCTCTATCCCTTCCTTTGATAAGAAATCAGGGATATCTTAACATTGCCAAAAGAAGTCTCTTGACCTTGCTCTGAATTATCCAATTATCCAATTGTATCAAGACTTCAAGAAAAAGAGGACCATTCAAATTCCTGTCATAGCTAGAGTGCCTCACCTGCAGGGTGTGTGACAGTTCCCAGCAGAAGGCCAAAGCATTCCTTCTCCAAGGCCTCCAGGGTCTGAGTCACTATCTAAGGCAGAGATTCTTAATATGGGACCCACTGTTAGGCTTGAGAGAGTCAACGAACCCTTTGAAAGTCTAACTAGAAGATTGTATGTGAGGACCCACAGCCTTCATCAGGTAATCAGAGAGGTCTGTATACCTACAGAAGTTAGGAACCAGTGATCTAAGAGGTCTAAACTAAGGGCATGGACCTTCTCAGCAGGGGCTTTTCAGATGGGTCATAAATCTGAGCTCATGGAAGCCTTCAAACAGAGACACTGTGAGAAATGCCAGAAGCAGGGCTAGTCTGGGGGGCAGCAGGATAGAGGAAGAAGGCAAAGAGATTTCAGCCCTAACTAACCATATTCCAGACCCAATCCAAGAAACCAGAACTAAACAGAAGCACTAAGCAGTGAGATGTGTTGTAAAACTGAAGTAGCCTACATCAGCAGCCTACAACCATCCCTCACCAGTGGGAAGGAAGTTCCTCCTGTCCTGATGCCAAGGGGTCAGGACAGGGCCTTCAGGCATGAGGCCTTTCCCTTCCGGGTTGGCAAGACACAGACACATTTCTGCATGCTGGTCAGGAGTATCTCTTCATTTCCCCTCCTATCAGAATAGTTCTCAGAAATGTTCGGTACTTTTTCATTCATTCCTATCTGATATTTACTGTAGTTTTCCATCTAATGGAGCTCTGGTTTAATTTTACTTTTTTGTAACAATGTTTCAATTTGGGCTTCATGTGCTCTAAAAATATCTTGTCAAGGTATCAAAATAACTGCAAAATGACATCCTCAGAACTTCAGAGCAGGTTTCTAACCAGTCTAATGATACCCAAGCTTTTGCAATCGTGTCAAATTGCTGGGCGTAGAAATTTCCACTTGGCTCTTTCTGGAAGGTGTTCTTTTCTAAAATGGAGTTCAGAGAGATGAGCAGGAGAGAGTTGTATAGTCAATGAATATTGGAGCTAGGAAGGATTTTGGAAAGAAAAAAATGCCACCCCCAAATTTGCAGCAAGTTCTCCCCAAAGAAGCTATCCAAAGAATAGAATAGGAAAAGGGAATGGTAGTAACTTTATAGTGAGGAAGCCTGGTAGACACTATATTAACCTAATGATTAAAATTAGTACTACCAATGATGCCATGTGGGTATCATGTACTCCTAGGTGTAATTAGAAGGGCAGTATTCTTTCAAAAAGCCCAGGACCGCAGTCTAATCATGAGAAAAACATTAAACTTGGATTGGGAGCCATTCCACAAGATATCTGACCAGTAATCCTCAAGATTGTCAAGATTATGAAAAACAAGGAAAGACTGATCAAGAAACTGTCAGACTAGGGAGGACAACAGAGATCTGACAACTAAATGCAATGTGGTACTCTGACTTGGATCTTGGAACAGAAAGTGAACATCAATGGAGAAACTGGCGAAATCTGAATAAAGCCTGGAGTTTAGATAATAATAATACACCACTGTCAATTTCTTAGCTTTGACAAATGTACCATGGTAATATGTTAACAATGGTAGAAGTTGAGTAAGGAGCATATAGGAACTCTACACAATCTTTGCAACCTTTCTGTAAATCTAAATGTATTTCCAAATAAAAAAAATATATATTTTTAAAAACCTATACTATGTGGCCTTTGGACTAACCCAGGGAACCCACATATCCTCATGTTCTGAAGTTTTCTGTTTAAGGGAATACAATTATATGATCTATTTGTACTACTTGGCAGACTATGTTTCAAGGAATCTCTATTTAACCCTGTTAGCGAAGAAATGATAACACCTTTTCTTTAGGTTCTGCTAGCCCACAAAAAAGAGATTCATTCAGGAATCTGGTCCCAAGGAAGACATTCTCCCTTAAGCTGTTTCGGTAGAAGCAAATCTGACTTCCTTTTCAGGTCTGCCCTTTCGGATGAATTACCCATGGATGATTCATTTATGCAACAGTAATATATTGATATTGAGCGCAACTCTGCGCAGAACTCTATCCTGAGTAGTTACATAAGAAAAGAAAACGAATATAAGGGAAAGAAGCAAACGGGTACCATCTGGAAGTTTATAATCAGTGCAAAGTATCATAGCTGCATAGAATCCATCAAGTGGGTGATATCTCCATAAGTACAAAGTTCCCATGCATCAGGTTGCATCCCAAGGGCTTATGAGAAACAGAGCATAGATGTTGACAAAGGTTAGGTGGGAATATTTTCCTAAAACAAATAATTGATAGGCAAAATTTAATAGATTGGTAAAGATGAATTAATGTTTCTTGGTGGAAAGAATAATATAGGTAAAGTTATGGAGATGCTAAAAAGTGAAGAATTGAGTGGAGGAAAAGAATCACATTAGTTTGACTGAACTGGAGAAGGCAGATTAGAGAGACGAGATGAGAATGTCAAGGAAGGCAGTCATCCGAGCCCATGGCAGCATCTCTGAAATCATCTCCAGATGGAGAAGTGAGTCACATGAGTTTAAAGATGAGATATGGGCTGGGGAATGGGAGTAAGAAGAGGAAGGGAAGGGAGAGGGAACACTTACAAAGGGCATGGAGAGTGAGGTTTTCGAGGACATAG